GCCAGTGAAGGCTGTGAAGAATAGGAGTTATATGTTGCCTAGATGATGAACGGGTAACAAGTCTGGCGGCTGAATTCTGAATGCGCTGAATGCACTATTCCACCATGGAGCAAGGAAAGATCACATCACAGATTTCATTCCTCCAACGTAGGGTTGATATAATATGCGCCGGCCCCAAGGAGAGTCCTTGCCCTTTCTCTGCATGTAGTCTCTTATTTTAACATACATATACACGCAGTATTCAAAGGATTCAGCCACGACATGACGATTGTCAAAAAAGGGGGAAGAAAACCGTACGCCACCAGGATGTTACACTAGCGGCCATTAGGCGACGTGCCGTCTACCGTCAAAGACGTAACACTTCCGATTTATCCGCTCCAAGCGGGGACAAAAGAGGGCGTATTTTCGAATGAAATTGACAGTCCTTTGGTATGAATCAGCAACTCACTGGGCAAGTTTATGCACGTTTGATGCGAAGCACGCAGAGTCCGCTCGACCAATTCTGTCTGGAGTGCATGGTCTTCGCGTGCACGCCGAATGCGTGCAAGAACCTGGTTGGAAACTTCGTACGTCCTGTCTTTCATTCGCCGGTGAGGGTGCACTTGCACTCATGGGGAATCACAGACATATAAACCAAAGATAGTATAGCGCTACGCGGCGCTATACTTGCTTTAATATAGATGCATAGACCGCCAGGTCCTAATCAAAACTACAGGCGAAGCCTAGAAACAGGAGGATAGTCGCGAGAAAAAAAGTTACTGATCTTTCATGAATAAATGCATGTAAGATGGTTACTATATTATCGCGGTAGTTATCACATTTCCCGAAATCAAGATTGCTCGCTCACCTTCTTGAATTATCCTATCCTTGCTGTGTTTAACTCTTACTTTTAACTTAGTTCATAAAATTTTTCTTGTGGCTCAATTTATTTTCCTCTACGATAGCTTAGAAATCTGTGTTTGCACCGTATGCATGTGGAGGTGGAGTCTCTGTTATAGCAGTCTTGGTTTCAAGACGTTAGTGCTTGATAGAGGACACCGTGCATAGTGCATCCCCTCACGACTCATAATTAGACTGTGCGCCAGTGAGAGTAAGGGGCTTGTTAGGCCGTGTCCAAAACGGTTGTTTAGAGCTAGGTCTACGGAATTGAGGCATCTATGTGATCAGTAACACCTACGTAGAGCGTGTATTGGGTATGTACAGGGAAGGGGGTACCCCTCTGTCACATTTCGTGCTGGGTATAATCAAATAAGCTACTAGGCTAGAGGTCTGTCTGAGTCTGAATCATATAGTTAGCAAGGCACCCATCAGGAAACATCATACCGGCTTTGTAATTATTATTATTATTAATCATTTCTGGTTATGACACCATACACAATTTACCGTTGGAATCCCTTATGCCTCCAAGTGCTCTACCTATGTTTCTGAAAATCAATACATTTATTTGTAGGTCATCTGTTTGGGCATGTTTATCTTTTGTTAGACTTCAGCGATACCCTAAAACGTGTAAAAAAGAGCGGTTATTTCCAAGCATTCAATACTGATTCTCAAGGAGACCCAAAGCAATGAAGATCTAGCTACAAAGAAAAAAGTGCACCAATAAAGATAGGTCTAAATGGCAACCTACAAAGAATATATGACAAACTCTGCAGCGACCACTTTCCTGCTCAAGTGCGATAGGGAGAGCGTTTCTGCGAAACGATGCTGTCCCATCCCTACTTGGAGACTATCCAGATTATTTGAAGCTGGTGATTACGCTTAAATTATGTAATTCAACTTCAAGTTTATGTAAGCATGGAATAAAGTTTGCGGTTTCACTGTTTTCCTTGTTTAACTGTCATTTTTTTCAGCCAAATTAGGGGGGCCTACTGTCTCGAGCTTGGACTTAAACCGCCAATGAAGAAGGAATTCAAATGGCAATCCTTATTGACTGCAACAATGATCCGAAAGCTTTGTTTTCAACTGTGGTGCGCTTTTAGCCATGTAATAGGCCAAAATATTTAAACTTCTGGGTGAATCGACGTGACACGGCTAACTAAAATTCCCATAATCTATGCTCACACTTTATGCCGTGCAGAAAAGTTCAACATTCATTAAAATCACAGAATGTTATATAGCGTAGTGCTTGAGCAAACGTTCCTTGTACAGAATGAGATTTTACGGTATTAGTAAAAGGCTTACGAAGAACCTTAAATTTGGCCCCACGTTTCACATATTTTTTCTTTGTACATTTCCTTGTGTAAAAACAAAGGACAAGTAATAATTCATTTAAATTAGACCCATCGGTATTGCGATATTGGCCCATGTCATAACATACATGTACACGGATAGCATTTTAAATATCAAATGGCAGTATCAGCTGCATAAATGAATGCGAAAAGACAAACAAATGTGCAATGTAGACTTTTTGTACAGTTTTTACCTTGACTTAATTTTTGTTCATTGCGTTAATGTTTTGCCCATTGCGCGTCGCCATGTTCACGTGACTTTTTAGCGCGTCCATGCACAGCTAGAAAATTCTCTGCACAAGCAATGGCTCGTACGCACGCACTTCCCATCGAGTTTTTATTCTTCTGAATCTTCTATCAATGGTTTGCCCATACTTTCAAAATCACGGTTATACACTCAAGACTATGCGTTTAAATGTCTGTGAAATAGACTAATCCCATCATAATTGCGATGGCACCGCACTCACACGCACATTCTTCAGCCTGACGCGCGCGTACATTTGGCAAATCCGACAGCCTATTGGTCCAAGAGGCATGTAATGCGCGCGTTCCGTCCGTCGGCGAACGTTGTACCCCCGCAGTAATGGTTTATTACATTTGCGCGCGCTGTAAAACGTAGGTCTGTATGAACCTTTAGACGGGTACCAGCAACATGGGCGGAAATTTCTAGTCACAGCCAAGGAGCAATTATTTCTGAAAGCTCAGCACAGCCTCCATCCTAAGTGAGATCGTGACACCGGCAAGTGCGGCGGAGTGGTGCAGGCTACCGGGTGCACATAATCAGTGACTTGAAAAGTGGCGGGACATGGTTAAAAGTGTGTGTATGTTGGGGGGTATATCTCCTCATATCCCCCG